ATGGGCACAGACAGAAATTCCATCCCAGAGGCTAGCATAGACTGGGATGTCTCTTTAGCAGAGTCAGATTTTTTGCTCAACTGAACTGGGCTCACAGAAGCCATTTGCTCCATACAAGTAGCAGAAATGGCAGCAACTTCTGAGTGTGAAGGACCCAACAACCAAGTCACTGAGGGGAGCTGTGGAGTGGTGACAGAATATCCTGGTGTAACTGAAACTGTACTGCTACTGCCTTCTTCTTCAATATGAAGGACCTCCAAGGGGCCAGGTGTTGGCAGGCCTGGCAAGTCCCTGTTGTAGCCTGTAGCACGGTATACCAATGGAGACAGTAAAGCTGTATTGAGGAGAGTGTTGGTTGAGTCTGTATTTGCTGAGATAGGAATTGGCTCCAGGGAAGGCTCAGAAATCAGAGACATGGTAGAACTAGTCTGCAAAAAGGAGAGAGACAGGAACAGGGAAGAGAAAGACATGGAGAAAGAAGTGAGGAAAGAAAGAAAACAAGACACAAAATGGTTGAACAATTAAGTCCTCCAAACCAAGGAAACCTCCTGATCCAAAGCCATCAGGATGGCCAGGAAGACAGAGGAGGAAGTTTGAGAGTGGAATCTGATCCATATTGCATAATTTCTGTGGAGGGCACCGAGGATGAGAAGAGATTGTGTACCTGGAGGTGGTTTTTATGCTCTACTTCAGAAGAGTAGTAATTCATTCTCCTCCAAATGGGGCTGGTGGGTCTGTGGGAAGACCAGATCACCCAGACTGTGACCAAGGGTCACATTAGCAACTTGTTCCAAGTCAGTCACAAGCATGTAAAATTTAAATTTCAACGTGAAAAAATCAACGCAAACAGGCTATAATATTGTCTTCCCTGAAACACTAATAGGACATTCCTGTTGGTTGAGTTCACAGCCATGAAAAACAAAGCCTCAGGGCATTCATAGCAAGTGTAGATGACTCAGGCCTTGGCCTGCTCAAATCATTAGTCTCGCCTCTGGATCTAATACATGATGAATTCAAGAGACTTTCTAGCACTTCAGAGGTTGCACTTTGGGGAGCCCTGAATTGGCTGTCTTTCCTGTCAGCCAAGTCACATTTCTTACATTTGGTGAGAAAAGCCTCAGTTTTGTTCCAAAATATCATACGACAAAGTCAAGGCTTGGCTTTTAGTTCTCCTCTACTTACAAAACCCTTTCAAACAATCATTACTGGAGGAACCTGATCTCTCCCAGTTCCTACATAAGAGGTCTTCTTCATATTTCCCCAATGAAGATTAGCATGCCTTCCTTTTTGCTCTTTCAAACCAGCTATTGGTACTTAACAAGGTCCAACACTGTACCCTGATTATAGGGATTCAAACATATGAAGGATTATTCTCAGCTTTGTTTTTAAAAAAAGAAGTTGTTTCTAGCCCTCTTCCCTACAAAGTTAGCAACAGAGTTACACTGTATAAGCTAGCAATAAAAGTCTGTCACAGATTTCAACTAAAGCTAGATCTTGTGGTCCTTACCTACAGCCACATAAGCCTGAACTTAACCCACATCTTGGAAGCATCCCTGTAATCATGGGATTTGCTCATGACATCACACTGCACAAACTAAGCAGGACTGCATCTAGTAAGCATCCAAATTAGATTTTCTCAGAGAGATCTCCCAAGGGCAGTAGAAGGTGGTATTAATAACTGGTGACAGGACACTCCTCTGAGAAAGAGCTGGTAAAGTCCATAAGTAATTTGGAATGATGGATGCTATTTAAAAGTGCAATCTATTCATTACTATTAAGCACAGAGGGAGTTTTTCCATATTCATTCTTCCTTAAATAGCACCTGACTTGCCAAGCACAGGTGCCCCTGTAAAAGTAACTGCTATGCAGATTATTTACCTGTGCTTATCCCCAATTTTTCTAAAATTCAGTCATTTTCAAGGCAAGGACATGTTGTTATTTTGTTCTAGCAGCTGTATTTCCAACGCATTAAAAATCCAACCACAAAAAGAGAGCAGCACTTAATGTCTAAAAAGATGCATTACAACAGCAGACTGGTTAACCTTGACACCAAGACAAACAGCAAGACATTACTTCACAGAGATCCTAAAGGTGAAAGACGCAAGCGCATTATGTGACCTCCCTCCCAGCTGATTGAGAAGCTGCATTATCCAAATCAAATGGATTCTACAAATGAAAAAACCAAGCATGTCATTAAGTGAGCAACACATGAGAAAAATTAATGCATCAACCTGCAAGAGCACCTATATACTGTATGGTTTGAGGAAAATTAAACTCAAAAGTAAATATCCTTCCCTGCAACCCCTCCCACACACAACCCATCCCAACACAATTTCTGCCTGGACTTTGCCCTTTTGGCTCTGATTAACTTCCTTAGCACTTCCTTTCTACTCTTCTCTGGAGATTCAAAGTAATGAAAGCCTTTCGCTTTTCACAGTTGCAACATACAAAGAGCAGGGCATCAACCACCTCATATTCAAAGCTTTGCTCCCACCCTGCGCTTAGTACAATCAATATGAACCAGGATGAAGAACCTCCCAATTCTACTTTGCAACTGAGCTGGTACGTGGGAGCTGACCTGAGGGGTCAAAAACAAGAAGGGAATGGAAAGGGCAAAATGAGATGACTAAGAAAGGAAGGAGAAGGGAAAGAAATCACTGGGAGCAGGGGTAATTGCAATAACAGGTAAAAAGAGACCATGACAAACACTGAATTGAGTTGAGAGAGGTAGTTAGTCATGTCCATCTGAAGTTAGTATGGAGGCAGGGCAGGCTGGCCCCTTAGAGACTCTCTAAACAGATTAGTCTCTAAGGAGTCATCCTGCCCTGTCTTCTGACAAATTCCAAAATGCTTGTGTGTTCTTGATGTCACTAAAGAAGTAAAATTTAGAGACTCAGGTCCACCGGTGTCTCACAGAAAGGTACCAGCGTGACTTCAGGAACCTAGATGCCCAACTCGAACTTCGCAGTGTGCTCCCACACTTCACCCAGTGCTGCAGCTATGAAACAACCAAAAGGGCACAAAATTCTGGGAATCTGACATTCTGATCAAAACTAAACTCCCTCCTTTCATGCAGTGTTCACTACCTTTGATACCTGTTTAATTGCCTTTCCAGAGACTGCAAACAATACAGAGCCTAGGCTTACAGATGCCATGCTCTACATGCCTCTTCTGTAGAAGAAACATGGTAGACTGAGGTATTTATGTTGCATGAGGAGGTTTCTTGGTCAAAAAAAATCACCTCTGAATACCTGCCTGCTGCCAACAGACAACATGAAGTTTTGTTCCCTGAATATAAACAAAAATGCTATGGACATATCCTGACAAATATTTTGTCCTGCTGCTTCTTTCCTATCCCCATCCCTGACTTCAATTATTTCCTTAAAAACTAAAAGCCATCAATACAAGAGGAAATTTTCTTCCTCAGCTGCATGGAAAAAGACAATTGACATTAAACTGCTGATTTTAAACGCAGCAAAAAGTTAATAGCAATGCATCCCAAGCCCTGGACTGGGCCTGGGACTAATAACTTAAAAGAAAGGAGCTGAATACTGAGGTGCCAACTTGACAATAACACAAGTTAGTCAAAACTAGAGAAGACTAAGCAACTTCACCAGGATCCTAACAGGATTAGGAGAATGGCCCCTATAATGGGAGAGTAAATTTGGTACTGACAAAGACAAAATGATGTAAATTATTCCTTTCAATTTAGAGTACAAAACACATATTACCTGGGATCTAAATTAATTGCAACTACCCAAGAGATTTGGGCAATGTTACGGATCTCTTAACAAAAGCCTCAACCCAATGCACTGCAAGCAGCCAAAATGAAGATTTTAGGGTGCATAAGGAAGGCTATATTCAAAATATGTCACTATATGTATGCATGGTACCCTCTTCTCCTGGAATATTCTCTTCAGGTCTGGTTACCTATCTAACAATACAAAGGCAGGAATACGGTTTCAAGACAGCTGACAACAACATTAGAAGCCTGAAGGAGTTGGAACTTTCTGAGATAAGAAAGGGGATTGAAATGGAGACAGCAAGAGGCATGCAACACAAGAAATAGTACAAAGAAGGTCAACCAGGCACTTCGGCTTTTCCCTTCCTTAATACAGGAGAAAGCCTTGGTGCAACCAAAAAAGCAAACATCACAATTAATAAAGGGGAATCTTAAATTTTGCTCTGCTCGTGGTTTAGGTAATATCTTGTAGCCATGAACTCACAGTAACTTACAAATTGTAAGGAATAAGGATTACAAATGTGTGTGGATGAGAAATAAAACCCTCATGCCTCAGGTCATGAGGCATCTGCTAACATCCCCTATCAGCAGGTTATTCCTTTACTTGTTCATTATAGTTTTCTGCAACTTTCCTCTGAAGCACACGGTACTGGCCATGGAAGCAGATAAACTACAGGTCTAATCCATAGTGATAGTTTCATTTCAGAATGTGCTCCAACAGGGACAGGTGGATGAGAAATGCTCAAGAGGCTTAAACATCAATTCCACTTTTACCTGAATGGCAGGAGATTTTCTTTTTTAAAGATTACAGCCCTTAAGTCTTCCTGCTGCTTGCCATGAAACCCACAACTAAAATCCAACACAAAAGAGTGTTAACACCCTTAACAGAGTGTGGGGGGAGGATCTTTGCTAGTAAGTAGATAGGGAATGGGTTCCCCTCAAATTGCAGAACACCAAATAAATCACACTGTACTAAGAAATATCTGTGCTCACCATCTTTGCATACCCTGACAGATCTGCAGAAAGGAAAAATTAAGTCACCAAGACTACATTGTTCAGACACAAGATGTCACCACACTGATAACATTTGATAACACCTTCAGCAGCACTTTGACAGCTCAAATGTGCAACAGGAAATTGACTAGGGCAAGGAGGAAGTGGAGCACTGGTTATCTGGTGAATGTGAGGTTCTCAGAAGAAATAGCTAACAGACAAGGTGGCGGAGAATAGCAGAAGGCAAGTTACTACATGTGGCTACCTTGAAATCAGAGAGGGATGCCATCAACTCATCCAGTTCTCGTGTGGCTGAAGAAGCAGATATGCGAGTCTGCTGCTGGCTAGAGGTGACCCGCTGTGGGCTGGTCATCTCACCCTGGTTCACAGTGATTGCAGGGCTGACAAAGCAAAACATTACACCTTAAAGTGACACTGGTGAGAAACCCCTGACTGACACCCTCAGTTACTGATATTTTCCATTTATCTCTGGAACAGCATCAGGCCAATTTCCTCCACATTCCCCTCCCTACTCTCAGCATGCCCCAGCCCAGAAAGACCTCCCACCTCAGGAAACCAGTTGCCACAGAATTGTCACGCTGTGACTCTGCCAAAGGTGCCAATCTGTCTGCAATGTGGGTGCTCAACTTTTAGGACCCAAACTAGGATGAACTGAACTATTTTATTTGTCAAGGAAGACAATTTTCAATCAGCTCCTGGCCTTGATTGAATATGTGCCTCTAATGGTCAAATAACCCATGAACAGTTATTTATTTTTTCAACATTAGCAGTTTTTGACAAACAACAGCTGCAGTAAATGGAAACCTAACAACAAAAGCAGACACAGCCACAGCATTCGTCTTCCTCCTGGACTTTTCCCAGTTTGGAGAGAGAAAATCTTCCCTCTTCAAAGAAAAGAGATCATTGTCCCAGGCTAGCACTACACACTCTACTCTGCTGTCACTAAACAGTTATCCCCATTCTGCTCCAGCTCCAAATCCCACCCACATGAGCACAAGCAGGGTCACTACTCACACTGGAGTTGGCACAGAGCTTTCCAGTTCATCCAAAAGGCTCTCCACACTGGGACGCACATCCTCAATACCTCGCCCTCCATTCCGCTTTGGCTTCTCTTTTGTAGGAGGTGCTGCCTTCACTGCCAAAGAGCTACTGGTTTCAGGGATGACATAGTGAGGTCCAGTCACACTAGGCAGTGAGGAACTCCTGTTGGTTTCATCTTACAGAGAAAAAAAACCCAAAGAAAGTCATTTAGACTCCACAACTAGAGTTACCTCTCTCTCAACAGACCCAGAGGCAGGTGCAACATGGAGAGGCCAATAAGGAGGATGAAAAGAGCATGGGAGCAAGAAAGTCAGAAGGGGATTTACAGTGAGGGGTAGGATCCAGATATCTACAGGTATAACACTGATAAATGGGTCACCACTTCCTACCTGCTGGGAAACTACTAGGGGGATTGTGCTGCACCGCATTCAGTTCCAGAAGCAGTCGGTCCAGTTCTGAGAGGTTGCTGCCCAGTGAGGAGCTTGTCATGGTGGGAGATGGTTCTGCAGACTTCTGCTTGTTGGGAAAACTGAAGTCAAGAGAGCAAGAGGAGTATGATATTAGTCCCCCTACCTCACTAAACAGGCTGCATCTCAGCTTTCCTAATTACCAGGAATCCAGGTTTTCTGTTTCCTGCAGAAAACCATGGATCTCCCCACTTTCCATGATTTCCCCCTTTAAAGGAAAACAACCTGGGAAACTGTGGGTTTCCCCTTGCAGCTGGCGTTGTTCCAGCCTGCAAGGGGCTGCTTGGGGCTGGGGAGAGCAGGAAAAGCGTGATCAGTGACAGGGGGCACCATGCGCATGTCTCTCTGGAGT